TCGTTTGTGATAGTAACTCACTGAAAACAATGGTGGATGTGTCGCTCAGTTTTGTGGATTAGTTGAAGTTAGACATTAACACCGTTGGATACCGGATCAGTGGCCTAGTAGTTAAGTACTCGCGCGCAAGATCAGCAAGTCCTGGGTTTGAATCCCGCGAGGCAGGTTCGTGGATGCGCACTGCTGAGGAGTCCCACAATAGGACGAAATGGCCATCCAGTGCTTCCAGATTTTCCATGGTGATCTAGCTTCAATTGACTCATGATTTCAACTATTAATATTCATATAGACAAAATTGTCTCGCTAACCTTTACGAAAAATAATAATTATTATTTAGAGATATGATAAAAATTTGGTTATTTTGGCGATCATCTAAATCGAGAACTAATGATTATTAGATGACTCACTAACTTCAGTTTGTAAACATTTTTCACCGGTAAGAACCAATTACATTGAATAACAACCTAATCAAACCAACAATGAGTTGAAATGAGAAAACTAAATTAAGAAATATTATATCAACCAATGAACGATATGATGTTCATTGAATAAACGTAAAATTAAACATTGTTAAAACATTTTTTAGCTAGAAAGAAACATTTATTCAGTATTCTGTTGTTTTTTGACAAGTGCAGTTTTATAATGATAACCGTAACTAAATTAAACAAACCCTACAAACATAAAAGTAAATTACTTTATTAACACGAGAGGTTTGTAAAGATTATTGAGTTTGATGATTTTCGTCAAGGACTAATGTTTTTAATTAAGGATGTAAAACTCAACAATCTCTACAAACTAATAATCAAATTACTACTGTTGACTACATTACAGAGGTGGTTTTCAAAGTTCTAATAAGAAGCTACAGCCAGTCAATTTGAGGCAATTACTTGCCAATAACAGCGGGAGATTGCTGTATGGCATAGTAAATCGATGGTGGCTAAAAGTGTAAACTATTAGATGATGACTCAGTGGTCCTAGGTTCGACCATGGATGCACGCTGCTGAAGAGTCCCGTGCTTGGATGATATACATATACACCTTATGTTTTCTGGTTTTCAACGACTCGAATTAAATCCAGCCTTTGACATAAGTTACTATGCTCCATTTACATTTTTATCTAAAATATTATTTTTAGATATTTCTCACTTTTAATGACCTTAAAATTGATCAAATTTCTTATTCTATTGTCCTCACAATAAGTTTCTTTTATTGACCTTTCTTAATCATCTAAATAAATTTAACAAGAATTACTCTCCTATATAAACGAATAGAATAAACTGAAAATACATTTTTTTTCACACCGAACATTCAATTTAAAACGGTACATAAACAACGAAAAAGAATAATGGGTGAACGTAATAAAGGGTTTATTAATATAACATTTTTAATGTCGTATTTGAGAAATGCCATTTTCGAAGCCTTGTTTTTTAAAAAAAAATATTGTCACACGTGTAGTAGTGCATGAAATATACATTTAAATATCTATCCCAATTCAATGAGTTCATTTTTACTGTGGTTGATATATATACAAATGTTGTGGTTAATATAACTCTCTAGAAGTTTGTAGATGTACCTTTTGAACAAATTTCAGCTGCGAAGAGAAATAAGTTACTTTCAGTTATTTAATATTAAAATATATTGATCGGGACTTGAAAGTACTCACATCAGTACTCAAGTTGTAACTTAGTTTAAAGAATTTAGTCAAAAATAATTACTAGAAAAAACGGTATTGGTTATCAGTTACTGGTCAGTTAGGGTGTAGACCTTCAGGTTTTGCATGGTGGTCTAGCTTCAATTGACTCATGATCTTAACCATTGAAATTACTATAATATCCACAAAACCCATCAAATATATAACAAACTAAAATGTTAAGTGTCAGCTGGATGTACCTGCATCTCTGAGTTGATGTTCACTCTGGAATTCGAACCCAGTAACGTTCGCTCCAAACGCCATCGCGTTATCCACTTAGGACGAAACGCACGTTCTGGATTCCACTGCTAGTCACTATCCATCTTTGCTTAAAAAGCTTGCGACTTAACTCTATATAGAGACAATCCACACAGGACACACATATGCCATCATGAGACTGATTAATTACAGTCCTAAATAACAATTGGAAGATACAAGTAAAACACCACCAAGCGAATTTAAAATGTTAAGTGTTGTAATATAGAAGCCTAGTTATAACGTCTAAGTCTACAATGAGAAATTAAATTGATCTGATTCCTACTATTGAAAACGTTTAGTAATGAACACCAATTGGAATGAGAGTTTGTTCGTCATGCCTTAATTGTAATGTATTGTTATGTTAAATAGCACTGAATTACATTTAATTAACAAAAGATACATGTCGACAATCACCTTTTGATGTTTTAGTTAAATTCTTATAACTAGTTTCAGTACATTACATTCTATAACCTAAATTCATGACAGAATGGGGAGTCCCACAATAGGACGAAAAGGCAGTTCAGTGTTTCGAGGATTTCCATGGTGGTCTAGTTTTAATTGACTCATGATCTCAACTATTTAAATTACCAAAATCTCCACAAAACCCCTTCTCATACTTACCTGTATATTTTGATCATCAAGTGTATAATATAACCTTTGACCTTAAATTTGACCACTTGAATCTGACTTGTCTAGTTATATAATTATGATTGATTGTTAATTGGTTTCTGTTAACGTGAAATAAAATAAATTACATAAGTTTCAGATACTTTATATGAAGCTTAAAGGATAGATTATGTTCCATCCCACAATCAACATACAATCTGTATTGGCATTCGTCCACTTTCAATTTCCAACTTACTGTACAATAAGATTATTATCTCTTTTCATTTGTAAACAGTTAAACTATAACATGTTATGTAACTAACCATATGAATCTTTGGGAAAAAACTTAATTTATTAGATGTAAGATAAGGGGAATGAAAACACGCTTTTTTCACCAAACGTAACTTATTGTGGATTAGTTGCCAACTTAGATTAGTAGTATGTATGATTTTCTTCGAAATTATCTTGTAGTACATCTCTCGGTTGTTGTTTTATTCAACAAAATGAATAACATTATATTTCAATTTCTAATAATCAGTCAGTATGGAAAATAGTGAAATTATTTACTTAGTTAAAGTATGTTTATTACTTGAAATGTTTAGTCAACATAACTTAGCTAAGGCAGTATTTTCATTACACAACTTCTTATTCCGTTGTATAGAAGTCTAGACATAAAACACTCAACCACTTAGTTACTAATTCTGACCTGATTCACTGACAAGATTAAATTTTTGGATGAATTATTTTTAAAAATACGTTAAACTTACCGTTTAGCCCATGATTATCGAACTGCTAAATAAATAATATGACTTGAACAAATTACGAAATTTTTTAAATTTTAAACATACTCTAAATCTTTTAGACTTACCTCATTGTTTACGTCACGTATTAATAATAGTCAGATAACCATTAAAAACCACTAAGGATTGGACAGATAATTTATCTTAGTATGGAACTTCTCAGCAGTGTGCATTCGCGCGTTAGCACATAATCTCCATACCAATGAACTGGCAACTAATGCTGCACATGTTTAACTCCAAGTAATTCAAGATACTGTGGGACCTTCATCAGTTACCTGCGGTGGATAGTTGTTTCACACTAGATATGGTTGATTTAAGTCCACAACTGTGAAACTGATTGAAGTGAGACATGTATGCCATTAGATGACTACTCACTGATATAGACGTTGTGCATTGGCACGCGAAGACGGAGGTCTCGAGTTCGTGGATGCGTACTGACGAGGAGTCCCATCGCGGGACGAAACGACCGTCCAATGGTTCCAAGCTTTTGACGGTGGTTTAGCTATGATAATAATATTGATTTACATTTGGTGACTGAAACGCATAGATTACTATTATTATTCATCTATAAAATTCCTCATCAAAAATGCATTGACTATAAATTCTTAATTTTTTAAGTTTCTAAAAACTGTTTATGTTACGTTAGTTGTATCTTTCATTTTGTTAAAGTTTTAAAAAACGCACCTAAAATTGTGCGACTATAAATTATTGCATAGAACAATATCAGCGAAGACAACAGACAAAAGTGAAACACTTTGTTCAGCGTCTTTGTTTCTTTCAAAAATCCTGCGACTCATTTCAACTTTTATAACGAAGAAAGTAATAAATTTATATTACAGCCTAGCGATAAAGAAAATACTTTTGTTATATGTTTTTTTATTAAACTACAAATGAAATTGTCGGAGAGATTCAGAATACTCCTCGAAAATTATCCAGTGAGGGGGCACTGAAATTGCTAGGAAACAATCTATCCAATCAGCATTTAATGGAAATTTCTCAGAAACACCTGGAAAGTGAAGAGTCATGGGTCTTACTTCTGATTAGATGATCACTTATTCTGCTACTATGTTTAGTAGGGTTCTGGAACCTTCCGGAAGCCCAAGGTCATCTGAAACGCTGTAAATACCCTAAATTTCCTGTTCATAAACGAACATTGGAGTAAAGCGTTCTTTCCCTAATTTTCGCCTTTTATTCTCGTATTCAATTTGTCGTGCAGATTTAGCCTGAGGTTATTGGAAGAGCTTAAGAAACCGATTCAAGCGTTCACTCAGAAGATTGATCAGAAATGAACATTTGTATAGTAATTTAACAATGATAGTATGGTTCCTTTTACTGAATATTATCAAACTACTGATTAAATGAATAATAAAAACTAGTGCTTTAATAACAAATATAATTCAATATTGAGTCATTGTATTGTTTCTTTTAAAAAACAACAGATCATCTACCATATTTGGTTTACCTCTAATTTTTATAAAACGAACATGATGTTAATTTGTTATTTGTTATGATTATTCATGACTTCAGTAACGATAACCCTTGTATTAATTAACTTGTCTTAAAATGAAGAATTTCGTGCATTTTCAATCATTTTAAGAAATGATGAATGTAATGTTAACCATACTCTTTTTTCCTTTAAACTTGTAGTCCCAATGAAACCAAGAAAATTACATCTTGTGGACATACACAAAAGAACTCGTTTAACATCAGTATTATCACGAACAGATCAAGCTGGTGTACATGGACAAGTAGACCTACCATATTTATGTGTTGAATTAGCATGGGATCCTCCTGAAGGTCTACATACCACAAAACAAATCAGTTATCAAGTATTTGTTAGACTGATAGGTCCGCAAGAATTAATAGAAGAACTAACAGATACAACTCTAAGTTCCAGTGAATTATACGGATCCAGTTTAGAACGTGAAGGTGGCCATCCACTATTACAAAGGAGATTATTAGCCAATGTTACTGGTAATACATTTAGATCATCAGAAAGTGACAGGATTGGTAAGTAACATTGTATAATGTGAAAATTTCAACTTTAACTTGTTATTCATCAGAACTTCTAGACCTTTCTTGTATAAAAATTACAGAAATATATTTTGCGTTTACTTTGGTATATAGTTTAGTAAATACTTCAACAATAAAGTTTACTTCGTTTGGATTACAACTTAAGAAATAAATCCTTAACAAGTTACTTCACAAATCGACGAAATGAAAAATTCAGAAAATTATATCAGTTAAACAAGGATTGATTTCAAAATTTATGAATATCTCAGGCAATACCACTAGGAGGTCATTCAATACTGGAAAAACAGACTTGTTGTTTAAAAAAAGTTTGAATAGTATAGGCAGACATGAAATGAATCTGACAGATTACATTTGATCTGTCAGATTTAGTTAGTTAAATTCAAAAAATGTTCTTATTCAACCTTGAACCATTGTGTAACACGATATGTTTTTATTGATTTATTTATAGTTCTTGTGTTATGTAAGAGATGGAAATATTTGTTATCAGTTTAATTTGATATAATGCCCAAACAGTACAACGATAGGTAATATATATTTCACAGTATTTAATTACAGATCATTGGATTACAGGTTCAATTAATACTTTATTTTTTGTTTTGGTAGAATAATGGGCCATCACATAAGAAATATTCCTTAAAGTCGACTGTTTTGAGAATGTGCACTTGATTATCCATAAACTAATTAGCAATAAAAGAAAACCATAGAATTTTTAGAAATAAACTAATTAATTACCCTTAGGTAAAAAACAATTAGAAGTCCACTTGAACACTATGATTCATAAGCTACTTAATAATAAGAATATGTATACAAGAAATAATCTTGTTAGAATATATTCATTAATTTCTATCAGAATGTACCATTTTTTTTGTTTAAATTTTATAGAATTTCTTATGATTGATTCTTCGCCAAATAGGGAAAATTTGATTTTTATCAGAAGGGGTTTTGTGGAGATTGATGAATTAGTGAGTCAATTGAAGCTAGATCACCATGGAAAACCTGAAAGCATTGGACGGCCGTCTCGTCCTTGAACTGGACTCCCCAGCAGTGTGCATCCATGATCCCACCTCGCGATATTCGAATCCAGGACCAATCTGTCTCACACGCGAACGCCTAACCACTAAACCACTGAGTCGGCATCCAACGTTGTTTATGTCTAACTTCAACTGATCCACGAAATTGAGCGACACATTCACCATTGTCTTCAGTGAGTTACTATGTCACAGCTGACCCGATTGTACTCCACTGGTCACTGTTTATCACTAAAACTCCTTGAAATACCTTTCGAAGCCAGTCACTAGTGAGCATACGATGATTATCATCAGAAGCACTAGACAGTTACTCACTGAAAACAATGTTGGACGTTGGCGCAGTTTCGTGGATCAGTTGAAGTTAGACATAAACGTTGGATGCCGACTCAGTGGTTTAGTGGTTAAGCGTTCGCGTGCGAGACAGATTGGTCCTGGATTCGAATATCGCGGGGCGGGATCATGGATGCACACTGCTGGGGAGTCCAGTTCAAGGACGAGACGGCCGTCCAATGCTTTCAGGTTTTCCATGGTGATCTAGCTTCAATTGACTCATTAATTCTACTATAAAGGTCAATTTGTCAAAAATGTAGTAAAAATGATTAAAAAATATTAAATCTAACACAAGTAAAACTATGAATAGGGTAGTCTGAGAAAAAAGGCCTAAAAATAAATCAAACTTTTGTTGATTAGAAAAATAGACCAAGAGTAATAAACTAAAAATGACTTAATTTTTTTAAAACATCTCTCCAGTACATTGAATTTTTGTGGACGGCCTTGGATTACAGAAGATGTTCCGATGACTATAAAAAAAATGTTTAAGAATTGATTTATATTAACGAAGTCATTATATTAAGAGAGCTACTTCAGATAAGAAGGATCTGGATTAGTATTTTGCTACAGTTCAGTATACATTGGCCGCCAAACCGAAATATGAAACTAGTTGACCAACTGATCAACTGTTGTTTTGATCCATGGTAGTTGAAGCCCCCTCAATTTCCGTAAACAAATGATTGAGGAGCCAAATTAACAGGGTTTAGAATCATTCGCAATAGCTTGAATGCATTGGTCTTTCGTCCTCCCTTAAATATTTAGCTTCAAAATTATTTCGCACTTTTTATTCTGCAAATTCATTTATTCACTTCAAAACAAATTCACATTGCTTAATGCCCTTTTTTTTTACTAAGACTAGTACAACCGATCGACATATGTAACAAGTCATAAGTTACCTGTAACTGACTGACTGGTATTCAGTAGTGAGTACTGATGAGGCACAAAAATCAATCGTTGTTTAATCATACATTTTATTCTCGATGTCAAGTGACGGGAAGTAATAAATTGTATTTCGTAGTTTACATCAAGGAATAATCTTGGCTAGACGACCGTTGAAAACTGGAAAGCACATGACAGTCGTTTTGTCATAGTGTAGTGAAGCAGAACACTGGTGAGGACAACCGAATGTATTTGACAACAAATTACAGAACTAGTTATTAAAATTTAACAACCATATAGTGAATCGTTAGTTTGCGAAATAACAATCCATCATATCAAACTTGACTGTTCCTGTTGCAAACATCAATCGATTGTCTGTCCTTTCATTGTTCATGAGTTTCCATACAAATCCACTGTGTTTCCGCTCTTCCTTTCTTGATCTTCTCCCATCTTCTGCTGCCAGACATTACGTTCCTAACTCGCGTCGTATATTACTTATGTCTACATAAGTAGCACACACCACAATAGGATCGGGTTCTTCAGCATAAATGGTTTTGCGCTTTTGAGAAATTATTTAAATTCAGCATGCTCATCACCAATTGCCGACTCAGTAATCTACCTGTCGATAGCTCACTTCGAAGGTCCCAGGTTTGTTTCCCAGTAGGGTGGTGAGTGAGCACAACTTAAGAGTCCTATATTAAATCCAAACAACTGTCTATTGCTTTCTTGTTTTGATTGGTTACTTAAATCAGATCAGTTAGTGATTGAAATAATAAAGTTCAATAGCCTTCACAGCACTGTTATATACATAATTTAACCGATAATTAGTTACTTCAATGTAATCACTAGATTCAGTTTTCTCAACCCAATTTATTTAAGATAAAAATTGTAAATCTAATTTCATAAGCTATTTAATATTAATTATCAGTTAACTTGTATTAAATCTAAATAATACACCTTCCGCGATCTCCTTTCTACATTTCACAACAACGGTGTTTAAATGAACTCAATGAAGTGTTATTAATTTGATTTATTAATATTTTCTAACATATGGCCCATTTGATCTTTTGATGGTATTTTGCCAAAGGAAACACTGCCTTACATTTACTGTTGAAACACAAACTATGAAGACTATAATAAGCCTGAGTAAACATTTTTATCAATGTTTAGATGACAGATGGTCATATCATGTTCAATATAACTATAAACTGATACATCATAACGATACATTTACACTGATATATATATATATATATATATATATAAACAGCCCGTAGTTTATAAACTACTCAAGTTCCCTTGATAACGTTTTGAAGGCTCTCCTTAACTCGAAAACTAATCGTTATTAAGGTGTATAATTGTTTACGTCAAAAATTTTGTGATCACAAGAGGATCAATGAGTCATCAGTTCGATTCTCTGTACAGTTTTGAATGTGGACTGATGAGCAGTATCGATCGTCGATGGAACAGCCATTCAATGTTTGGTACGCTTCAATAATTTTATAAATATTTAAAATCTATGATACAAATATTTCCGAAAACAGTCTACATTTTAAATGATTATAACATTCTAAAACTATCCATTTCCCTGTATATATTGTTGGTAATAGAGGTTAGTCCAAATTTGAGATGAATCATTGAAAATCAACAAACACTGGACAACTACCTCATCATCAATAATTATGACTTCTGAAAAGCTTTCTCTCTCTCTCTCTTTGAAATTGGACTGAGAACCTTATAATGCTTGTAAATCAAGGCAATATCGAGGCATACGCACAGTATGCACATATGCCAATAAGAGACTGAACAATTTCAGTCCTAAACATCAATGGGAAGATTCAAATAAAACAATATCAAGTGAATGAGAACCTTAATATTCTACAGTGAGCACAATTCATTTACATCAATAAATCAACATCCAAAGGTTAAAATTTACTACCCAATGAAATTTCTGATTTAGTTTGAAAATATTAGAAATTTCAATTTATCAAATACAAAGAAATGGGATAGTGAGAATTTATAGGGTTCAAATCAATTTAAGATATATCTAGTTATTGAAGTCATAGTATATATTCAAAATCTAACCTATTTACTATTCTTGAAATTTAAAGGTTATGGATTAACCTACTTATTTGAAGTTGCACTTATGAATACAAGTTCAGTAGGTCTTACAGCTCAATTAGAGGTGACTACACCTGATGCACGTGAGTTAATTTAACAAAACATTTAAAATATATATATTTAATTCAATGTAAAAATGATTTTTATTATGAAAATTTGTTTAAAAATATGAAATTAATATTTAACAACCAGAAAAACACTGAAACATGTTAACTATATTGTCACTATGGCCTATTTTTCATCCAAATAAAATTATAATTTAATGGCCTTAAATCGATTCTGTTGTAATGTCTGCTCCACATACATACCTTTGACGCGTTTCAAACTTTGACTAACCATTAACTAATATTTCCTGATTTTTAAACAGTTTTTTTTCCATCGGATATCAGTTCGTGATGAACGTTCAGCCTATACACCAACAAAGATCAATGATCAATTTAAACCCAAAACAATAGAAAAACTGAATCTCAGTTGGATAGTAACAAAAAGTCGAGTCATAGATATATATAGGTATACTTACTTCTGACCCATACACAACGAATAACCATTTAAAGTTTGATATTTTAAATGCTATAAGTATTCTTGATACCTAAATGTTAAAAAACGCACAAAACACTATGATTTCGGCTGGTATATTAATAAACAGTATAATTATTCGACAAAACGTCATTTCAACGTATAGCTTATTATTTTCTACGTTTATAGTATTTCTCAAGTTGCACATATACATTGAATTCATAACAACATTCATAAATAGTACGGATTAATCATCTAGCTAGTACATACACAAGTAGTTTCATGTAAATATAGTTGATTATAAACATCAATGGAGTATCACATTGAATGGATCGTTTATATGGTAAATATCTTATTTCAATCAATACAAAAAAGAAATGGCAAAAATTGTCCAGTATGAAGAAGGTACCAAACAAAAATAATGCAAGATGGTCTCACAATATGATGGATTGACTGAAGTTAGGCTTGTATATCATTAGATCTCAGCTTATTAGTTTGTAGATTGAAAATTCGTAACTAAAACCAAAGTTTTTGGGCTCAACCCCTGGTCTCAATGGTGTGAATGCCCACTACTATTAAATTCCATATAAGGACAAAATAGCCATCCACTGCCTCCATGCTTTCACTGGTTATTTTACTAAGACCAGTTTATGATCTTAATCAAATTCAATAATCACTATCACCCCATATTTATAAGGATTAAAATGATGTTACAAGGAATGGAAGAAAAATAAGTTCCCATCTATCAAAAAAGTAATTATATTTTAATGGATATAATATAAGAAAATGTTTCCATATTGGACATTACCTTACTATACTATTTAATCATAAAAACGACCTTTATCAAAAAAAGCAAACAGTGTAACCCCCATTTTCCTGACAAAAATATTTGACGGAAAGAAAATTACACGTTATACTCTCATCATGATAAAAACATCTATCATATAAACCATTTCGTAATTTACATGAAAAAATTTTGTTATTTTCATTAATGTTTTTACTGGAGGAGAGAAGAATCTAGTATTATCACATAACTTTTACGTAAAGAGTTAGGTATTATGAAATTTTATAAGCAAATGTAGCAGCAGCCTTTGCATCACTAGGCCTCAACGTAAAAAAAAGAAAAAGCAAAGTTCCGAATTACAATACGGAGAACATCAACCCAACCACACTTGATCGAGATGTTCTGGAAGAGGTGGAGAGCTTCACTTATTTAGGTAGCATCATCAATGAACTTGGAGGATCTGATGCAGACGTAAAGGCAGGAATTTGGAAAGTATGGGAAGCGTTCCTACAGTTGAAGAACATATAGCACTAAAAACAACTGTCAACCAATATAAAAGTCAGAATCTTCAATACGAATGCGAAAACATTTCTACTGTACGGAACTTGGGGAACTGCTACAGCTATCATCAAAAAAGTACAAAAATTAATAAACAATTATCTACGTAAGATACTGAATATCCGTTGGCCGGATACCATCAGCAACAGCCTACTGTGGGAGAGAATAAACCAACTTCCAGCTGAAAGGTATATTAGGAAATGTCGTTATGAGTGAATAGGGCACACGTTGAGGAAATCATATAACTGCATCACAAGGTAAGTGCTAACATGGAATCTTGAAGGGAAACAAAAATGAGGATGGCCAAAGAACACACTGCGTCGCGAATTAGAAGCATACATGAAAAGGATCAATAGCAACTATAAAGGTATGCACCGGACAGACTTGGATGGAGAATACTGCTAGGTGGCCTATACTCCTCGATGAGGGGTAACAAGAGTAAGTAGTAAATGTTTAACTGAACAGCATCAGTTACTATATTGATGTTCAGACTATAATGTAAGTTATATAAGTTAGTTAAAAGTAATCTCAATGTTGTTGCTGAAATAGTCTTCATATTCCGTAATCATATACATGTTTGAATATAGGACTGTAGGTCAACATTTGTATGAACTACATGAGTGCCCAAGTAAAGACAGATGAGTGACATAAAAACATTCCAACTCATTATTTGAGAGTAAAATTTTTCATTCATTAGTCTATTACTCTCATATACCTTTCTATTTAATTATTTTTCTTAGTAGTAAACCATTTCTGTCACATATATGATTTTAAGGGAAACCCTGTTGATGCTATACAGTATGAGCATTAGTTGTGGGAAATTGTAAATACTCTGCGAAATCTCTACCTAGTTTCTAAGAGTTGTCATGAAAAATTTCGTAAATAATACTACGGAATGCATATGTGGATTAACAGGACCTCTTGAATAGATCTGCAGCTCAGATGGATGATTCTGGTGGTGTCATGTTTTCTGAGCTTGATTGAAGGCCTTTCACTGTTGTTGTGTATAAGATTATCCCCCACTATATTAGTTGGATATGAGCTATTCAAGTTACTCCACAAAACCTAGATCAGTTCTTATAAATGACCTTATTCATAGCTCGTCTTCATAATTGTTTTTAATTCATGTGTTCTTGTATTGATATCAACTGTGTTCTGTAGTATACCTCTTACCGTGTGGTTGGTTGACCGTTTCCATATGAGTTAATAGACTGAATCTATATCAGTACGGTTGTTGATTTACAATTTTAATCTACATTCGGTACTCATAGAGATTCTTTTGAACTCTTAAAGTTTCCTCGATCTAGAATGCTGATGAGACTTTCATCTACGTATACATGAACATATATCATCAAGGAGATTATATGAAATATTGTCACTCATATTAATGCAAATAAACCACCATAAAATGAATTCCAAACAATGTATAAAATAAACTCTCAGAAAGACCGACTTCTAGAAGCATAGTATTCAAACCAATCAAATCATCTAGTTCAAACAGGACTACATTATCGTAAAACATACAAACTGAAAAAAGAAATTTCTCTGTTTTGGTAATTTAATTAAACACAACAATTTTGCTATCAAAAATCTGAAGTTATTTTATATTTTGTACATAGAAACTTGTTCTGGACAAAAATGAAAGAATAACTTGAAACTACAGGCAACCACGTGATTTTCTTCTTATTTTTTTAAATTTTGTTATTCTTTCAAACATAATTCAGTTTATTCCAATTGTAATTAGAATTAAAAGCAACATCTATAAATTAATAAATGTGAAAAATTCTAGAAAAATAATTTTAAAAAAAAATTCCTACCTTCAAACTATAATACAATGGTTAATGATATCATCAATTCAGAGAAATAATTAAATTCCTATCCTCATATTTTACATGGATTATTCTAGATTATAGTGATTAAATAACTAGGATTGGATTTTGTATGAACTTATATTAGTATTATTCAGTAGTATATCATGGATAAATAGTTTTACAATATTAGTAGAACTTCTTAAATGTTATAGATATACTAGAATTGATGATAAATCGTAATTAGTGTGAGATGTAGTTTCAGTAGTATTGATTATAAACTAGGGGTTTTCAGTATGAAACAATATAATTATCTCATCTTGATTTAGTGTTCAATAATACACAGACAATGTATGACGTTGCGTCACTTAGGCCTGAATAAGTAATTTACAATCCATTGAAAAAGTATAAGATTAATCAAAGAATATGACTTATCATGATTACATTTAATAATATGCTATGGAATAAAATCTATATCTTTAGTATGAACTAGAAAACAGAAAAAAGTAACAATGATTCAAAAATATCATTCAATATATCAGTATTATCTCAAATGTCACATGATAGTTGCATACTTTATATACAAGTTTAGTCTTAGTACACCCTTGTGTATTTCACGATTTACAAGTCGGCTAATATCACTTGGTAGTATTTTATCTGATAGGGTTCTTATTTTTTTTTATAAAAAATTTGTTTTATCTATCACATCACCAGCATAGATCAAATCATAGATTATGGTTTTGATGTTTATTCGTAGGTTAAAGTAGATTTTATGATAATGTTAACTGGATGCTGTTTTTATACACTTCAATATGGATAAACGCGTATATATATATATATATATATATATATATATATATATATATATATATATTAACAAGCAAAATATAATGGCTATAAAATATTGATATGATATCTGTTTACTATATCATCTTGTCTATTTCCTATTCTTCTTTTGGCGCTACTCATTAATTACATACATACTAGGTTGTGAATTTATACATATTCATGTGATAGCAAACAACTCATCAGATAACTTACATCAAATAAAGTGGAAAGAAAAATAATATAAATAATAAAGAGATAAGTTTGTACTTATACACTAAAACTAATATGTTTAAAAAAAGTCTGGGTAGTTTACCTTATACATTCACATTCGACTTGTGTTTTAGATTTTGTTTAAATAATTAATAAAAATATTCAACTTAATTTGTTATTTTCTTCTAGCTCCTTCTAGCAGTCCATTACATGTTCGCTTAAGTGGTCTATCATCAAGTTCCGTTGAAGTTAGCTGGGCTCCACCTCCAGTACAATATCGTAATGGGAAACTTACTGGTTATGAAGTTAGAATTTTCGAAGTTGGTGCTGAAACACAAACTGAGACTATAATCAAAGTGACAGTACCAGGACAAAGACAATATACAGCAAGAGGATTAAAAGAGAAAACATTTTATACATTTATGGTTAGAGCATTTACTTCAGCTGGACCTGGACCTTGGTCTGGTGCAAGCAATATACGTACAAGTATTGAGTGTAAGCATAAATACGCCATTGTTTATGCATAAATTATAGGAATTTGTTTTAAAGAAAAATATCGATTAATGAAAATAAATATGAACTTTACATAACAACTGATAATCTATTCTATTATGAGACATTTGATTGGTTAATCATTTATCCCTACAGTCATACAATCTGATTGTTATCAATGTCTTAACTAAATATTGCCGAGATAATGAATAATATGAAACGAAAAAATAAGTATTTTGTGAATAGTTATGAAAAGAAATGTACGAATGAAATATTACGTCGAGTTATTTCATATTAATAATGAAATGAGATTCAGATGCTATTGAGAGATTATAAAACTGCGGACTACTAGATCCTAACTCAGTGACTTAAAACCAATATTCTTAAAGTAAGACTTAAAGATCGTTTGTTCAACTCATGGTCGATGAGTAGCTACAAATAGGTATAAGATTCCGCACTTCGTTTTCAGTGAATGTCTAGTCAATCTTGTTCCGTGTTTTGAAGTATTTTAAAAATGGAATAATTTCCTCAAACTTGATGTTCTATTAGCACTTGTCACAAATGAAGTGCTCAGAAATGACATTCCTTCTTATTCTTTTCTTTTCCCCTAAATAAAAAATGATTTTTAGTGCCACCTCCACCATTAGATATTCAAGCCTCAAGAATTAATCAACATCAAATCAAAGTAACCTGGCGCATACCAACACGTGAAGATCAAAGTGGTGTAGGCAGTAAACAAATCTCAATACAAGGTTTTCGTCTACTTTATTCCGCTAATAATAATCCTTATGAATCGGGTCAATGGACGTCATTTGATGTTGGCCCAGTTAATATGGCCATTATAAGTCATTTAGAAAGTAAAACGAGTTACGTAATCTGTATTAAATCACGTGGACCAGATGGTCGTTATGGTGACTGCAGTCAACCGGTAATTAGTCGACTAGCCAGCGGTAATGGTGAAAGTGATTTCTCAGTACGTGGTTTATTTTGTTCTGGAGATGATACTAGTGTGAAAGTTACTTGGCAACAACCTAAACGAACAGAAAAACTAGAAGGCTTTAAAGTGAGTGAATAGTATTGACTCTTTAACTTAATAACTTCTAAATTTCGAACAACCTATAATTTAAATTATTGACTTTCCAAACACAGTAGGTTAGTTAATAACGTGATGTTCAAAGCTATAAGCTCTTGGTTTTAGTCTCAGCGTGAATATCAACGTTAGGATGCAGGTGAATCCAAATAATAAATTCTAAACAGGACGGAACACACCTTGGATTCTACCGCAAATGGCGCATGAACTAGGAAGATTTTTCGAAATGAAAAAAATGATTTCGTCTAAAAGTAAAATAAAGTAATTAAATTAAACAAGTTTAATAAAAGGTATATGTCCAGTTTTTTATTGGTATAAACTCATAAATCCAGTTTAACAGATTTCACACTAATACTGTGGTGTAGGCTACTTTTGACATAAGTAGTATATAACACTAATCGGAAGTGGAAACCCTGGCATCAGAAGGTCAAGATGAAGTTGAGGATAATGGAGAAGGAAATTTGAAAAGAATTTCGAATAGGAAAAATCATACAGAATGTGAACGACAAATGATGGGAATTTGAAAATAAAGCATTCAATATATGTTTCTCATATTTTACCAAGATATATCGGTTGTCCCCACCTGTGTTCTCGTTCACTACAATATGTTTACAGTCAATGTCCAATATTATTGTTGTTATCAATAGTTAAATTATAATCAGAGAGGGGTTTTGTGGATATCATAGTAATTTACTTGTTGAATTTATGAGTAAGTTGGAGCTAGACCACCATGAAAAACCTGAAAGCACTGGGTTCGAACCTTGCGAGGAGGGGTTGGTAAATGCACACTGCTGAGGAGTCCCACAACAGGACGAAAGGGCCGTCCAGTGTTTTCAGGTTTTCCACGGCGGTCTAGCTTCAGTTGGCTTTTGAATTCAACAATTAAAATAGTTAAACTGTTTCAATTGTATTTTTCACAATATCGCTAATTTATGGTTGCAATAAAAACTTATTCATATCAAGATTTGAGTTATGAAAATTTGTATTTTGTATAAAGTTTGTCCAAACTATAAAGAAATTTCATTGGTTTTAGAATCAATATCCTATTAACACTGAAGGAATAAACGAACATGACATTATAACTGCAAAGTGATTACTCAATATTAATAATGTGCTTTCTTCTTTACGTGATAATAACTAGAGAAACATTTGATGATTCTAGAGTTTTGGACAGTTGATTTTTACTAGATTGTCAATGGCTCTTCAGTTGATATTAGTTTATGATGAAAATACCACCAATAGATTATATATAATTCTAATTCATTTTTGGATTGATAGACCCAACTGATGAGTCCCAAATGTAGCATAACTCACATCCTGGATTCCACTGCTAGCCACCATCCATCTCTTCTTATATGTAATTTGGTATTAAATAAAGTGGGTTTTTTCATTTACAGTACAAGTGTATAATTAAATGGATAAAAATATATCTGTTGCCACACATCAAGATTTCATCTATTCTCTATGTTGGCAATATATGTTATATAACACTAATTATCGATTTTGTGATCTTTTCAAGTTTAATGTGAACTAAAATTCTATAAGTTAAAATGAGATTTCCAATTCATAACCCATTTACTCACAAAACAAATTTAATAGAAGAACATCATAAGTTGAAACCTTTTTCTTTTTTCTTCTTTTTCTCTAATCAATTCATTTTTATTCCGTATAGTTTAGTTAAATTATTATTCATTTCGATAAATAACTAATTCTTTTATTCTATCTCGATAAATTTTCTTTCAAAACAAATTTAAATTAAATGTATATGTTAAGAACTACTAGATTTATCCTTATAATTAGTCGCATAGATACCAAAACTAACCTTAGCAACAACAAAAGGTTAAAAGTTAATTTATATCAGTTGGTTGCATTCATAAAATAAATTATAATTTATTCTTAACAATAATATTTAGTCTGGTTAAATTAATAAATACTAAATGGAATTCAATTAACTATTTTCATGTTGTTGCTCGAGGGAAAAAAAGCCAATTTAATTTTAGTTACCAAGATTTTTTTACATTTATAATTATCCATTTACATATTAAGATGTTTACAAAGAATCTGAAGAAAAAAAATTGGCGTATTTATGAAATTTTATTTATATATCAGATAGAATACATTTATTTCAGACATGTTTTTGTCATTTATATAAGATTTGTATTATTGGCATTTTATAATTGAAATTTTGTTAATTATCTATTTTTGTAATATGAACACATTGAACAGGTGCCTTGATTTTACGAAATGGTTATCTAGACTTAGTAACTAAGTAGATCAAGGGTCAGTTTTGAAATCGTTAGGTATTAAGTTTAAACCTCAATCTGGATAATAGCACCTGGATGATAGTACATTAAATTGACAAGTATCGGATAGGATGGAACAATCATTCTAGTTCTTACTCTTAAACCCAATTCGAAATAATAAGAAAACCACATAGTACTGTATTAAAACTAATCAATCGTGAAAATGAACAACAGGTTATCAAGTTTTCAATATTTTCAAATTAATAATATTTTCTATCTTCAAAATAGTTACTAACTCCTTTTTATGGCAAATGGGGAACATTATTTTTAAAATAAATATATTTTTTCTGAATGACCTACTTATAAACAAGTGACTAATTAGGTTAACTTGATATTTGATGTAATTTAAGTAGAATGAGAAGAGCAAGTCGTAATCATAGTTAATCAAAATATAACAGAAGGGTTTTGTGGATACTATAATAATTTCAATGGTTGAAATCATGAGTCAATTGAAGCTAGTGCACCATGGAAAACCTGGAGTCCCACAATAAGACGAAACGGCCGTCCAGTGATTCTAGGTTTTTGTGGTCGTCTAGCTTCAATTGACTCAACCATCAAAATATAGCAGTTAATAAAATGAATATTTAATCATATAGTTTTCATAATACTCGACAGATTGGAAACGACGCCGTGTTGGGATTATAAGGTGTGAGGTATACATTGTGTATTCCAATATAGCTTTCAAATTGAACGGATATCACAACTATTTTTTTAGAATTTTCATTGGTAGAATAAATCTTTGAAAATAATATTTTGACTTTGTTAAACAATCATCAGCTACCTTAATAGTAATTATTCGTAAGAGTTTTCTGAAATCTGAAAGAAGGTAGTTCTTTATGAAATATCTGTGCTTGTATCACAACATCACAAACATCATCACGTTTGTCACTAACGATAAACCAGCGTCTTAATGTCTAAATGAAATTTTCAATAAGTTTTGTCGATAAGATAAGCAGTTGAAATATAAATAAAACGTATGATCTATTCATGATTCCATCTTGGATAGCTCAGTGATGTGATGTCATTAGGAGTCAAATAATCAATAATTCATAAGATACTCAACAGTTACAGCAGATATACTATTTTACTATGTAAAGTTTTCAACAAAATTAAGTGACCAGTGGAGTCCAATCAAGTCTGTTGTGAGATATCAGCTCACTGAAGAAAATGGTGTACGGTGGCGCGATTTCGTGGATTGGTTGAAGTTAGACATTAACACCGTTGGATACCGGCTCAGCGGTCTATTGATTAAACGCTTGCGCGCGAGACCAGTAGGTCCTGGGTTTGAATCCCACGCACGAGATCTTGGATGCTCACTATTAAGGAGTTCCATACTAGGACGAAGCGGCCATCCAGTGCTTCCAGGTTTTCCATGGTGATCTAACTTCAAATGACTCATGATTTTAACTATTAAAATTAAGTGTATTTAATTAATATACTTACTAGACAGAAAGTAATTTTGTTCATTCACAAGAATATCAATTCCGCTTTACTAGATCTGATAATAAGTGAATTAAATTAATTAAAAATTACACTTGAAGTTCTTTTGATCATAAAACAAATAGGCAATAACACAATGACAAACTATTTTAACTTAATCATGATTTAAAATTTTCACTATGTGAATGAAGTCTTTGTATTTTTTTTTAATATTTTTATTTTCACATTTTTCAAATAGAAAGTATAGTTTACTTGTCAAATAATTTTCTAATGTTTTATTTAAACAGAGCAAGAATAACAAGTTTTGTAGGATAAAATCAATTCATTCTATATCACAGTTTCTCATCAGTTGTCAGAATGAGGGCTTGTGGAAATTACAGTAATTTAATGGTTGAATTCATGAGTCGATTTAATCTAGAGTTTATTTAAAAGAAATGAAATTAATAAGTGATTAGGTAATTTCTTAATATGATAAAATAAACAAATATGTGAACACCAGTAAGATTATGTACGAGATAAATATCAGAAGACGGGATAAAAACAAAGAGAAATGATTAAGTATAAGGTTGGAAAAAAAATTTATAATTAATTAAGGTTATTAGACGAATCAAAATCACAATGGTATAAAGAAGGCTAATTACATTTTCTATCTTTATACAAAGGTCATGTCGGAAACGTTTGATAGCGAGTGACTCTGCCAAACGAAATGAGATTGCTTTTAAGCCATTAATTGTTTTAAATGCATTGCTTACATTTACCTCATATCTACTAACCCAAAAGTGTCTGGCGATTGCAATTGTAGAAAGTTTTATTCTATTTTAGTCGTAGGTTCAGAAAAGATTGTAGAGACTTTTGTCTCTGTCCATCCTATATACTTGCTACCGCAAATACTTATAAATTCATAGATGCAATAGGAGGGACGTCAGAATAGTATTGATCTACCGTTGTATAGTATAACGAACACTTGGTGTTGTATAGTGAAAACAACTGAGAAGCAGGAGAGCATTTTTAGTGCCTCCATGACTCTTATATCAGTTCTTCCTGAAATCTCATTTCCCTTGAATCGAAGGTGAATGAAGATAGGTTTCTTCCTAGTAGTTGATTGTTCATCATCCTTAGAATGCTCTCTTCCATATTTCGTAATAATTTCTTCGAGTATCCATTTTTTAGGAGATAATTTGAGCATAACATCTCATCTCTATTGAGGAGTGTTTTGAATAGACCCCTAAC